GCCTGAAACTCTCAGACTGAAGAAGTCTCTTGGAGGAGAGACGAAACGTTTCATTAAAGAAGAACCCGTCCAGAGGACCTATACAATTTTTTCCTTTTGCAACTACAGAAAGTTTTTGCTTGAATAACAACAATTACAAGAAATTACAGACAGCAAAGTGTTTTGATGCTACTCACACTTTGCAACATGTAACCAAAAAACATCCTAGAAAGAAGTTAAGTTTATTCATTAGTTTGGACGTTACTATGATTATGCAGGGTTGCCAGACAAAAGCAAAATTTTGTTCTTTGCCTCTCCTTTTCTGTGCACATTTTCTCCAAACACATCACACACACACACACATCACACACAACACCCTCAAGCTTGGTTTATACTTCAAGTCAGACGTCTTGTTCCCCCTGCTGAGTGACATAAAATTGCGCAACTTCCGTCTGCTCTCCCGCTGCTCTCCCCCGGTGACAGCCATCTTGTGCATTGCCCCCAGTCAGAAAATGTGAGATGTGGACTTTGCGGCTCAGAGCGTGTGATTGGTTTGAACTTCGTGGATGTGTTTTATTCATGAGGAGCACCGCAGCGCTGAGGAGCAGGACTCTGATCAGCTCAGCCTTCTGCAGCTTATTTTGTTTTAAAACGATTTTTTTTCTGAAGCCAGTTGTTAAAATAGCTAGAAAAGCAGCTGATTTGATTCTATTGAACGTGAGCTGGTTTTCAGATTTTCACATCTTTTTTCCATCACCACTGTTATAATTTAAAAAATGTAAGAAGTTTTTCCACCACGGTCTTTACCTAACATGACAATGATCATTAACTGATAAAAAAAAAAAACACAATATCCAGCCATCATTATGATTGTTTATGTACTAATATGAGCTGTGGGAGGGCAGAGGGAGGATCTGTGATCATTTATAATCCACCACGTCTCCAGCTCGTTTATACTCGGATCAGGAAAACGACATCCAAAATTACGCAATCTCCAACCCGCTGTCTCACGTTTTACAGAGGTATAATCTAAGCTTCACTCAGCGCTAATACAGTTTGGGTCAAAATACAATAATTTTAAAAAGACAGTACAACAGCTTACCATATCCCATCTGGCAACCCTGCCACATCACTGCAGCAGCTACATGTAAACAAGTAATTATTATTTTGTTTATTCGCCTCAATAAACATTGGAGAAAAAAAACACCAGCATTTCCAGAGGTCAGTCTCGCTTAAACAGGGTCTAATCATCCTACCATTCATTGACATGCCAACATTTGCCCTCATCCAGTGTTTTCTCTGCCATAACATCACTAACTGAATCGTTAAAAACATAAGTGTTGATAACAGGCTACACCTTTAGCTAGTTTTTGATGTTGGCTTGGGTTCGAGCTTCATAACACTGGCAACATAACCCAGAGACACCAGCTCCTCATTCCTCATTTTGCTGCATTTCAGACGCCTCACCCTTAGAAAGTTCTTTAAAGCGCTGACACTCCATTTGACCTTGTCCAGTGTTTTTTCTAGCGTAGATAGCCATAAATGTGGACATCTTTACTGATAAATAGGAAAACAACACAGTCATGTCCATCAGTCTAATAACACACAGGTTTGTTCTTATCAAATACCTCTGATCGCCACCCATGATGCTGTGTTCACAGAAAATTACAAAATGGGCTATGAAATTGTGATGTGAAAAGCAGTTCATATCTTATTATATTAGATTTTTAATTGTTTTTTGTTTTATTATTTTTGCTGCCTAGCAGTCTAAAACCATGTTTGTGGAATGCTTGAGTAAAACTGGGACATTTTGCATACTAAAAGGGATATCATTAAATAATTGGTTGACTTAAAAAAAGGCTTAAAGACTTTTCTTTTTGATCAACCCTATTCTGCCTCTGCAGGATTTATCACTGATTTTAGTACTTTTAAAGAATTTATGAGATTTTTTTTGTGTGTGTGTGGGGGGGGGGGTATTTTTATTGTTCCTGATTTTACATCTTTTATCTTCTGCCACTTGTAGCACTTTGAGATTTTTACTAATGAAAAGTGCATTACAAATGAAAACCATTATTATTATTGTTATTATTATTATTATTATTATTATTATTATTATTATTATTATTATTATTATTATATTTATTATTATTATTATATTCAATGTTATACCTTTGGCAGTCACATTCACATTTAAGATCTACCAATTTATTATTGTTTTTTTATTTACTTCAAATGTGTCACAAAAGATGTAGCATAGAAATGATTATTTTTATTTTCCGGTGTATTTTCAATGCTCCTCATTATTTGCAGTTGGTCTTGCCGTGTGGCAAAGAGGAAAGGGAGGGGGCTTAGGGACATGTCAGCACATAGTTCAGCTCCACGTGGCCACTGGTCTCCTCCCCCTCACAGCCTGAAGGGCTATGTTGCTTGTGTCCCCTCTTCTTCCTGTGCTGGTCCCCCCCTCCCAACTTCAGAAGGCATGAGAAAAACAAAAAGTCTGAAGAGTAACTTTAGTTCGTATGCTGAATAACAGAGCAAAGAGAAAGAGACTAGGGAAGTTTATTCTGTGAGCTGCTGCTCATTTGTTAATGCTTACTCTTTTTTTTTCTGGAAACCCTCCCATTTCTCCTACCATGCCCCTCCTCCTCTCTCTGGCCTCCTTTAACTGTGTTAGTTTCTGTGGGCGGGGGTTTGCATTCCAGCACCGTAGCTTTCCAAGGCTAGTCTCTTTCTGCCTTTTTCCGTCCCTGTTGGGTTCAGACCAGGAGACAAGAGTTGATCAGGTCGCTAGCTAACAACCGAGCTTAGCTCTGCCCTGGCCTGCTCTGCCAGGCAGCACGTCTGTGCCACCCAGGATGTATAAAATCTGACTGAAATCAATCCATATCCACCCGCCGTCCTGCTTTGTGGGGTTGAAAGTCCAGCACAACGCCAGCTGGAGCAGCTACTTCAACGCTGGGATGAAAGAGGCCTGTTACAGAGTTTGCAGTGCTTTTAGAGAGGAGTTGCAAGCAAACCGAACCAGGATAAGGTCAGTATTGTTGAGCAAATATTGATGCACTTAAAATCAAAACTAGTCTACAGAGCAAAAGTGTTGTAGCAGCTGGATTGTGACCTTTGTCAGTTTAATTTTCATGAAGTGGCCATGCTTTCTTTTAGTTATTAGCCTTCAGATTTGTTTAATAAAGTAAAAATAGGATGTCACAGAGAGACAGTTTAGAGTTGAAAACGTTTATTATGGTCACACAGTCTCTCTCTCTCTCTCTCTCTCTCTCTCTC